TGAAAGAAGCAGCTACTCACCTGGTGGTGGTGGTACTTTGGTGGGTTGGACACCAGCGGACGATGTTGTCGCCACCAGCTCTGTAGTTTCTCCGTCTGTCTGTTGCCTCGTTGTCTGCGGAGCCTCTGTGCTCTTGGTCGGGCTGCTGCGGGTGTAGCTGGTGGTGACGTGCTGGCTGCGAGCTGTTGTGGTTCTCTGAGTTCCTGCGCTTGTTTCAGCGTGCACGGTGGCGACTTTTGTCGGGGTGGCTACCCCGGTGGAAGGCCCCTCGGTTTGGCTCGGTGACACATGGGGAGTCGGGTGAGCTCCGGACGTCTGCAGGACCGTGGTGGAGGCTGGGGTGGAAGGTGCAGCGTATGGGATGGTGGCGTCGGTAGGAGGCTCTGGAGTAGAGCTGCTGGACGAGCTGCTCGACCACGAGGGTGAGGTCGCAGCTAGAGCAGAGGTGATGGTGGCCGTGGTGGTGTTGGTGGTGGTGAAGACAGAGGAAGTGTCCTCCTCTGTTATCTGTGGTCTGTCGAAGAGAAAATAAACCCATCAAGTGTCTTACAAAAACAGAAAAGGTCATAGATATGAACCACGGATGTCAGACTTCCAGAAACTTCATGAATTCTTTAAAGTTACATATTGTCTGACGAAGGGAGAGATGATTAAATATGGAGGCTGTGATTGAGGGAAAAGTTTTCAGAATGGATGCCACTAACCCAAAATATACAAACACACAACATGCATAGTACCTAAAAAATGAAAATACTGCACACTGCTTTTAATAGGAATCAGTCACGTAAAACGATCTGCTGCTTGTTGTTTTTTGCTTCTTGTATTAATAACTGTGTCTTGTACTGTTCTGTCTGTAGTTCCTTGCTGATTTTGATGTATTTATAGTTCAGTTTGGTGTACGTGTTGTTGACTTCTTAAGGCCTGAGCAAATTAGCTTAGGCTTATGCTACATACTTGTTCCTGTACGGATGACATTAAATTACCACACATTATGGAATCAATGAGGGGAAAACACAAAATGTGTTCTTTCAGCTTTTTTGTGCAAATGAACAAGAGCCTTCGATCATAGGGCTGAAATCCTTAAAGGTACCTCTGCTGGCTGTGGTTTCTATCATCCTTCAACTTTAAAAACTTGTAGGTATAAAACTTGTTGAGATATGAAGACCCCTCAAGTCCCCCCAGTAGTTACTCAGCCTCTCGAATTTACAAGCCAGTAAGTATTCAACCTGGCCAGGATGATCTTCCTGAAGGGGTCGTAAACAGCAGCAGCTTGGTTTTCAGCCCATTTAGAACAGCCCTAAAACTACCAAGGGGTTATACAGTCATGGTGAAATGAATCATCTGTGCAGTAGCTTGAGCTGGAGAACTAAAAGACACCCTGTAGGGACTTGGATGAATTTGCTGAGAAGGGGAACAATATGGAACCTTCAAACGTCGCCACACCAGAATCACAAGCTGAGGTACCATCTCAGTTGTTGAAAGCACCTTTACTTTTAATTTGTACTAAAGCTGGCATCAGTTATGTCTTCAGATAGCTTCACAGGGCAGTGTAAAGCAGGGTTTTATTTTTTGCTACTTTAAACTATTGTCCTATTATTTATTTATCAATTAAACACAACGCTTAATAAACACTAAAACATACCGTTCTGTAACAGTCACAGGTGTTGTGGTGAGGAAGGCCTCAGTCAGCAGCACCGGCGTCTCTGTCAGAGCGTCATCCATTCCAGATGTGCTGCTGCTGCTGACAGTAGAGGGCGCTGCAGTCAGACCCAAGCCCACACTTCTATCTTCTGTCTGGGATGAAAGCCCCTCGGTGCCCTCCTGGTTCTCAGTGCTGGAGCTGTGGGCTCCAGTGAAAGACTCTGTGGAAGTTCCAACGCTGGAGCCCGACCCCTGATCGGTCCCTGAGACGTTGGTAGGACGTCCTGCAGGCGGGGTGAAAGGAGGCGTGGAGGAAACCGACACTTGAGACTGGTCGGTGTTGGGCTCCGTCACCCTGAGAGGCGGCGTGGAGTCAGAAGTCTCCTCTGATGTTGACATCTGCTCGTGCTGGCTGGAACTGGGCTGTCCAGTTAAACTCTGGGTTCCACTGGACCCTGCGGGGCTCCCAGTCTCTGAAGAGACCCCCCTGAAGGAGTTGGTCATGTGCTTGTCCGTTGTTTCCCTTCCATCACTCCTCGTGGACGAGGCGCTGTGGGTATAGTCCTCCGTCTCTGCAGGCCTGGGAGGAATGACCCATGTGGAGGGAGGCTGATGGGAGTTGGAGTCTTCTGTGAAGGCAGATGTGCTGCTGTTGCTGGAGGAGGAGGTGACAGACAGCAGGGTCCTCTCCCCGGCTCGTCCGATGGTGGTGGTGTAGGTGCTGTCGGTGTGGACGGCTGTCTGCGACGTCAGAGCTGTAGCATCCCCCAGTCTGAGCGTGGCGTCTGGGCTGTCCTGTGGCAAGCTGGCATCATCTGTAAACATCCGGGGCCTGGCCTCCCAGGACACAGCATGAGAGGTGCCTGGCATCTGGTGTGTGTTAGTAAAATCTTTCCAGTCACTGCTACTGCTGCTACTGCTGCTACTGCTGCTACTGCTGCTGCTGCTGCTGCTGCTGCTGCTGCTGCTGCTACTACTACTACTGATGATGTTGCTGCTGCTGCTGCTGCTGCTACTGCTGCTGCTGCTGCTACCACTGCTGCTGCTGCTGCTACCACTGCTGGTGCTACTACTACTGCTGCTGCTGATGGCCTCACTGGGGGTTACAAGGGTGGAGGTGAGTGGCTCAGTAGACAGACTTATGGCCTCTGGAGTCCTGCTGCTTGTTTCTGTGGAGGTTTGCGTCTGCTCAGCGTCTACGGATAAAGAACAAAATAAAAAGCATGATTAAATACTCACTTCAGAGCAGATGCTGTTATCTGTGTCACAGTTAGCACGTTGCAATGAGTCAAGTAGTAAAATTAATTAAAACCTCCTATGATAGTATTTATATTATCTAGCTGTTTCAAATCAATTTGGAGCCACATTCACAGGCATATTTGACTATTTTCTGGCGCTTCATAAACCAAATGTGAGTCAATTCGTACACTGCTGATATAGCTATTTAATGCTTAATAGACAAAAATGGATCGTCACCCTATTTTATAATCTTTCCATTCAAGCAATAATGCTAAATGCTCACAAGTCCCAGGCATTTGAGTGCTTTGCTTTTCTCTGTTTCTGCTGATAATTTTGAGTCATCTCTGAACTTTTCATGACACTTTTATACCAGCGTCCTAAACCACTAAGCTGACTTGCAATAATTTTAAAAAATCCCAATCTCTCCAGTGTTTCTTTCTGTTTGTTTTTACTTCTTTAAATTATAAAGTGCCCACAGTCGTCCTCAAATGTATTCATAGCCTCACATTAAAAAAGGAAAAAACCAGCTGTCACTGAAATAAATTGACAAAAGTAATAATAAATAAAACTGTAATGAAAATCATGACATTGCTTTTGAATTGTGGTTCAACAGAAATATTAAAAAAAAACAAGCAAACAAGCATGATGGGACCTGTGAACTAATATTTAATTGAACAACCCTTTGAGCCAATCAGGTGTTTTCTGTAACTCTCAGTCAGACTTCTGCACCTGTTGACAGGTATTCTGATTTCACTGCTCATCAGCAAAGTGCTCTCATTTGTGTGGGACAGTTTTGTTTTTTAAAATTATTCTTTTCAACCTCAATTCAAAAGCAATGTGTTATTTCACTAAATTATAATTTAGCAAATTTTAATTTATTACTACTTTTTTCACCTGCAGCTTATAGACAAGTGCGGCCTATATATATGTATCCACTTTTTTTTTCTTTTTCTTTGCGCTCAATAGTCCGAATATTGTGCTTCACGTCTGTTCCAGCTGTGGCCACCAGAGGGCGCTCACCAGGCTGCATGTGGTCCCTGCAGAAAGTGACAAGATGCTGTCAGAACGCTGCTTCCTGCAAAGGCAACGATTTTGGGTGGAGAACAACTGGCAGCCAGCTCGTCTACTCTAACAATGGCTTGAAGTCCTAAATATGGCGGTGACTGTCTCTGTTGGGAATCAGCCATTTCCTTCCTAAAGCTGAGTGAGCACAAGGCCCTCCTGGCAGAACGCTGTCACTGTGGGTCTGGGTGTGTGTTCACATTCAGAGGCTGTTGTTTTGTTTTTTTAGTACTGTTTCAAAATTACAATCCCCAAATGCTACCAGAAGTGAAATACCAAGAAAAGAATGTCGTTGTGGACGAGACACTGTTGTTTTCGGTGTGTTTTTTTGTCATTTTGCCCGACAGTAGAGATAAACAGGACAGGAGCTGACAAATAAGAAACCCTGACACTCACAGCCAACTCTAAAATTAAGCTGACTCCTATTTTGTATTAGCTCACTACTTTAAAGCTGCATCCACTGTTTTTGTTCGCTTGAGGGCAAAGGAACAAGCAGTGAACACAACACTGGCACGCTGCACGTCATTCGTTTTCACTGTGGATGAATCTTTGGAATACTTCCTGGATTAATCTATTAGTTGTCTGGTATGTAAAATGTCAGAAAATGGTATAAAAAGAAAGCGGAGTGATGTTTTCCAAAGTCAAAGATGCCACGAATGTCTTATGACGACCACGACCCGATGATAGTCAGTTTACTGTCATGGAGGAGGAAAGAAAAATAAAAATATTCAACTTAAAATGACTCAAACCAATTAACTGATTATCAGAGCAGGTAATTGATTCAGTAGTTAATAAGAGAATTGCTGCGGCTCCAATGTCAGATGCCTAAAAGGGTAACCTTAACTTTCATTTGGACTAATATTAGTTCAACATTTGCTTTTTGCTGTTTTGTTCAACTGCAAATATTCTGACTGCCTAGAGCTCTACTAGGTTTAGCCTCTCTGACTAAAACTGCCATTTTCGGGAGCATTTATCCGGTGAGCAGGTGTTCTTTGCGTCCTTGTTTTTGCTGACAACACCACCTCCAGAGTTGTGTGAGCAGCTTTAAATTACATAATTAGCAACCCGCACACTGAATAGAAGTCTTTAAGGTATGAAGAGCACTTAAGCACAAATCAGCTGGGCATTGTGTTAGCGTGCGAGGCCCTCCTCTGACCCTGCCGCTGTGCCGTCTGACAGCCCCTCATCTGGCCGACGTCCAGGGCTGGAACAACAGCCCCGCCGAGGATGAGCGTCAGCGCCACCAGCAGCCACCATCCAGCCAAAAACCGATGGAAGAGAGAGAGAGAGAGTTCAACAGCAGAACGGCCCGTCCGCGGGGAGTCTGTGCACAGAACTGGGCCACCAGACTCTATTTTTCTGTCTCACTTCCTCTGCATGTGTGTCTCTCATTATTTCATTTGCTCTCTCTAGATCCAGTCTGGGCAACAAATCTCAGACTGGAACGTGGAGTTGGCAACAAGTGTCGGACACTCCCAGATCCTCTGCTGATTATCTCCCAACTGCTGTCGGTGTCATCCGTCAGCATCTGCTCTACTTCAGAAACTCTGCGGCTCGCATGTTAATTCAAGTAAATATGCCGGGAGCGCATTTAGCATATTAATGATCTCTGTAGCAGTGCTGTGAATAAAGGGGCTGATGATTGTGATACAGACTTAGGAGGGTTTGTGTTCATTCACAGTCATTTGGTAGGTTAGTCACCAGAGATCTGACAGGCTGGTTTAAGACAGGACAGGTGAGTCAGAGTGAAATCTGGCCTCGTCTTTCTCTCACATCGTCTTTGCCTTTTAGAGAAACCACGAGGCGTTTGTGGGGAGCTCCTGCTTTGATTCTATGAATCAAGAAGGCGCCGCATCTAAATTATCACGAAAATAAATCATCAAAGAAACAGTTAGTAGCGCAGACTTTGATGTTTATCTCATTGCCGTGGAGACAGATGTTTTTTAGGTTGACATTACCAAACTGATTACTGTTATCACTACGGTTTTTCACCATTTATTTTAGATTGATGGTGTTCTGCATGGTGACCAGCTGGCAGGACTTTTATATCAGTGGTGGCACAGCCGGAATAACAGCAAGTTAATGTGAGAGCAATCGATTTGTTGTCATTTACAGGCTATTAAAATAATAAAAACCACACAGTGTAGATTTAGGTCTGATGTCCCAGCCGCTACTGAATATTTCATTATTTTGGTTCCATGCTTCCCACTAGCTGCGTTCTGCATCTTGATTTTAAAAACTATTTCCATGCATACCCTCAGAATTAAAATACCCTTTCTTCCCCGCTGGCAGGGCTGCAGGTTTAGCCAGCTGGGCTACAGAAGTATTCTGCACAGCAGACTGGACCTAAAGCCTTCCTTTGAGGGATAAAATTGCTGTCAGCGCTCCAAAGAAGGTCTATAGGCAGTGAAAGCCCGTCTTCTAATGGTTGATCTTCAGCCGCTCTGAGCCGGCGGTGGAGGAATGTTTCGTGTTTTCCTGAAACTAAAGGCCATATGGGCGACTGCAGCTTCCACCTCGGACGGCAGAAGGTTTTCCCTTTTATAGTGTGATGGATGATGTTTGGACTTGTGCGCAGGAAATTGGACCTGAAATACCTTTTCTCTCTCTCATCCAAGATTCTGAATTGAAAAGGTGTGTGTGCGGTTCAGCCGCCTCGTGGACTAAATATAACTATATGTGTGATCTGTATTCACTATCATCCAGCTCTAGCGTGTTTGTCTCTGATCGTGTGCAGCTAATTGTTTATGACAGCGTATTAAAAGAGAAACAGTGAACTCTATGACAACCACCAGAGGTTAAACCGGCAGATGCAGCTCATCAACACCTGTTAGCGCTGGAGAACATGTCAAGACTCTCTGTGGTGAATCCTTATCTCAAACAGGAAACTAGAAAGTGTTGCACTGAGTTAGGAGAAGATCAGATTTGAAATGTAGATTAATGAGTGATGAACTCAGAGCAGGTCTCGTAGTGGTGACTGGACAGACTGGATCTACTTTAATAAACTAATAAAACATATTAAAGGAGCCCCTCAGCTTTAACCTTAATTATCAGTTTTCTGACTGTTTGAAAGCTTTTACAAACAAAATTTTGCTAAATCAGGATATACAGCTGCAAGGACTAAATGTCAACTATCACATTAATCAGCAGCTATTTTTGATAATCGATGAATCAGGAATTTTTAAACAGAAAAAAAGTCTAAATTCTCTAATTCCATCCTCTGAAATGTGAACATTTTCCAGTTTCTATGACAGTAAACTGAATATCTTTGACTTGTGGACAAAGCAGGACAGATGAGGACATCATTTTGGGTTTCAGGGCGCAACGATGCACAGTTTTCACCATTTTCTGACATTTTACAGGCCGAACAGCTCATTGATTCATCATCAGTTGCAGACTTAGTGGTTTGTTGTGCCCGAGTTGATCTGAGCTGATTGATCCACAAACAGAAAAGTAATCTGCATCAGTTCTGATAAACCGAGTAACTCAGGTTTTGAGCTGCTGGTTGAACACAGCAGACACACTGAGGGCTTTTTTAAAAATTACCTCTGCAATTATGAATCAAGAAAATGTGGTTTCAGCCTCATTGTGTAGTCCTGTAAGTGCACCATGCAGTTCTGCTACATGCAATACACAATCCTCACTTTGGCTCTAACTGTCCTGTATTATCTTATAGCTGTGATCAGTCCTGGCTGCTCCACACTCACTGTTAGATCAGCTTTTCTGTTGCATCATGCAGCTGTTGGAAACGAGCACTTTGCATGAGATAGATAATAGATTACTGGTGCAAACTCTGCAAATTGAGCTAACACTTAGTTTTAAACTTGGCTCTACAGGCCTCTCACACACACTCACACACACACACACTCACACACTCAGTGAGCTCTTACCGAAGCTTGCAGCGGTAGCAGCGTGTGTCTCGGCGGTGTGTGTGAGCAGCAGGCTCCTCTGTGATGGGGACAAACTCTCGCTGGAGTATGAAGTTGAAGTTGCATTGTTTTCCACGGTGCTCAGTCCATCTGTCGAATAAAACAATCCCTCCGTTACCGGATCCGCGCTGCTGTTACCGGGGGTCCCTGCCCCGAGGGGCCCCGGCAGACCCAGCAGGAGGACTGACAGAGACAAACCGAGGACGTGATTCAAAAACCACGTTTCCATGATTTCCAAGACCCCAAAACGGCCGCCGATAGTTTCCGTAAAGTCGAGTGAGTGCCGGGGAGTCTCCCGGGGACACCATGGGAGGAGCGCGGCGGCTTTTAGCGAAGTTTGATTAGGAAATGAATAAATCCTGGTGCAGGTCCGGAGGAGATCCGCTGCTCAGACGGCGGGGAACGGAAGATAACAGAGCCGAGGGAGCAGCCTGTTATCACGGCGGAGGAGCCCGGGCTCCTCCCCCTGCTGCCCCAGCACACACACACACACACACACACACACACACACACACACACACAGTCCCGTTATCCAGACCAGTAGCTGCCTGCAGGTGTCGGAAACCTCCCACTTAAATATGTTCCTTTTTCCGCCATGACACTGATGCTCCTCAGATCCCAATAATACACTCAAAACTACTAAAAGTAAAACCCTGAGAAGTAGCCTCTTGCCCCAGCAGCAGGGCAACAAGCCCCCCCAGGAGGAATGAAACTTACCTCAACAGTCCCATTGATCCATATAATATAAGCTTACTAGTGATAAATAATATAAACTTTTTTCCTAATGCTGATGTTGCTCTGACTTTAACTGCAATGTAAATGTTAGATAACACCTACAAAAAAATAGGCTTTTTTTTAGCCGTTAATTATTTTTGAATTAATAGTTCATATGACAAAGGTTTTAACTTTACTATAATTTTATTATCATTGATATTTAAATTCCTGACATAAATATAAAATTACCGGAGAGGATGCTTAGCCAACGCCAGGAAAGAATTCAAGCTAGCTAGCTATGCTGCAACAAGCTAATATAGCACAACGTTGTTAGCTTAACATAAAGGCAGCTAGCTAGCCACTTAATGTTTAATAACAGGAACTGTTATTGTCTAATTTTGAATTAATAGGTATATGATAAAAGTGTTAACTTTACTATAGCTTTCTTATCATTGATATTTAAATTCCTGACATAAATATAAAAACACCAATCAGAGAGGCAACACTAGTGACGAATTCAAGCTAGCTAGCGATGCTACAAGAAGCTAATATAGCATAACGTTATTAGCCAGCTAGCCACTTAATGTTTAATAACAGGAACTGTTGTTGGCTAATTTTGAATTAATAGGCCTAGAACATAGGTTTTAACTGAACTGAAACTTTACTATCATTTATATCAAAATCCCTGATGTAAAAATAAATGTCAAATCACCTTTGACGTTTAAGCTGACACTAGCAAAATAATTTAACCTACCTACCCAGTCCTACAGCAAACTAACGCTGCACAAAGAATATTATTTTTCATCAGTTCAAACCTTACTTAGGGTTTTTCCTGGTAGAGTTAGACTTCCAAAAATGAGCAAAAGAGGAAAAATGAATATTGGCTTGTCAGTGTTAAACACTTTAAAGCGTATAGCACACTCAATGCACAGCAGATAAGTCCAGTCTCTGCAGGCCAGTAGTTATATTTAGGTAGCAGGAAGCCATTAAAACACTTATGCAACAATCAATTCATGCAGAGCTACAATGCAGCATCATACAGCAGATTACATTATACAGCTATACAGTACTGTGAAAAAGTTAAAGGCTCTACAACTCCAAAAAAAAAAGGCTTTCAAAAATAACCTTAATATTACAAATTGCAGAAAACAAAACAAAACAAGTCAATATTAGATAGGACTGTCTTTTACCTTTACAACAGGTAAAGATGAGCAGATACACTTGTGCATTTCAGTCTACTTGGTTGGAGCTGTTCCACACATCACACATTAGGCTGTCCCACTATCTCCTGCCTCTTCATGTAACCCCAGGCTGACATAAAGTCTCTGTGGAAGTGATATTGTCTGTTGTGGGACTCCTGTTTCTTATTATTGCTGAACATAGCTGTCAGTGACTCTGGCTGTATGTTTGGGGTCCTGGTCAGGCTGCAGAATAAACTTGCAGAGTCCTGTTTATCTCCAAAACATTCCACTGACAAAAAAAAAAGAAGAAAAATCCCACGTCTACTGGTGTATACAGGTGTCTTCTCTTTACTGTGATTTACTGAGATCTGGCTGTGATCAGTGGAAACCCTGGAGAAAAAAAAAAACAGGAGTTCTGAGGTGAATTTAACAGAAAATATTTACTGGGTTACAAAACAGCTTTCGATGCAAGCAAAGAACAATATCTACAGCAAATGTGATTCTACGGTATTGAGAATTTTTAAAAATTTGCCTCTTAATCGTGCATTAAAATACACTCACAAATTTATCAATATTTCCTCTTTATTAAATACATAAAACTTAACTTAAATACATTCAGAAAAGTTCATACAATTAGTGACAGTCAACAGAAAAAGTGTATTAATTCTTTCATTTCCCACAGGTTTGTTTGAGATATATGTTGTATAATTAGAGATGCTTTTATGACAAAATGTAGAACATGTTTTCACATGTATATGCCTTCGTATTCTGTCAAATTTCTATCTGATTATACAGTATTATATATTGTAACTCCACCATTGTTTTTAAACATAAATATCCTTAATTTAACATTCAGAAGTCAAAAAATAAACCCGATCTTATATAAAATATGTTTGCATGTGTTCTAAAAGTAGGTAATTTTCTTTTATTTAACAGTATATGGAATATATTTATTGTCCAGTTGTTCAGTTTTTAGGCTAAATGTCCCAAAAAAAATCCTGCATAAGTTGTACGTAACTCTCAGCCCTTCTAAACATGATCAGCTTCCATCAGAAACCAGCGAGAGGAATAATAAAGGTCAAACAACCACAACGTAGTTTCCCAGCGTGGTGGTCTATACACGTGGTGGCACATGTACAGTGGCAGGTACAGCCGGGTGGTTTAACTCCAGAACAACTGGCTGGTCAAAGTAGAATCTGTGCATCAGATTACTGCGACACAAACACTACTACAACTCCAGTTGCCTGTGAGGTTCAAACGACACTTTCACTTTTGCATTTTGAGCAGATTGTTTTGCTCTATTTCCACAACAGCATAAAGTGCAAACATCCTGTATGTCAAGAAGTGTCCTGTATCCGTCTCTACGGTTCATTTTATTAACGCTGCTCACATTTCAAGCCTTCGTGTCTCAGCTGAGTGCATACATGAACTCTTCCACTGCTGTGTCCTTCATCGCTGACGGTTGTGAACAGAAGCAGCAGCAGAGACAGCAGCAGCTCCGCAGCTCAAAACAATCCGATGCCCAACATTTTCTCAGCACTTATTGTGTTCGCGGTGACGAGGAAACAAGGTATCAGCATGTTCACAGATCAGCATGTGTCGGCTGGCAGGTTGCTGCTATGACAACAAGATGATAAGAGGAAGTGGTTTTCACAGCTCCGACTCTTTTGAACCCTTTCACACACATATTACACACAAGTAACATATGACTGAACCACACTCAGCATGTATTCTAAACATGTTGTCTTAGAATCAGTTACACAGCTGATCTACAAGCTGATCTCACTGATGTGACAACTGGCTGTGATTTCTACCCAAAGAGCTGCTTGAACAGTTCACAAAACTTCAATGTTTGCTACCTTCAAATACATCTAACAGGACATTTTGGTTTGAATTTGAACATCAGGTGGGGGATGCAAGGTGGCGCAGTGAAAAGGTCGCTGGTTCGCGTCCCGGTGAGGACACCCGGGATCTTTCGGCAGGAAGTCTCCATGTTCTCCCCGTGCAGCGTGGGTTCTCTCCGGGTTCTCCGGCTTCCTCCCACAAGGTCCAAAAACATGTTGAGGTTAATTGGTGATTCTAAATTGTCCGTAGGTGTGAATGTGAGTGTGCTTGGTTGTCTGTCTCTAAGTGTAGCCCTGTGATAGACTGGTTACCTGTCCAGGTGAACCTGCCTTCACCCTGAGTCAGCTGGGATAGACTCCAGCCCCCCATGACCCCTAGTGAGGATTAAGCGGTGGATAGATAATGGATGGAATATCAGATGCAAAACAGGTCTCATACATGTGTCTTTTAAATTACTGCACGTCTGCAAGAATGCTTTAGACAACCAGGAAAATAAAAATAGTAATTATGCGTTTATCAGTGAACTGTATCCAGAGAGAAGTGAATATGGGCATTTGAACTAAACCTTTGGGGTACATGTTCAGGATATTACGGCCACATGAGCACCGCTTTGGAACAACAGGACAAAAAAAATAAAGGAAAAATTTGCAGATTGTAATACACATGTCAAAATTAAAGTATTTAAGTATAATCAGACAACATAAAGAACTTCTGCTTCTTATACAAAATATTCTTACAAACTCGAGCTACTTCCAGACCCCAAGTACGTCTCTCACTCTCTCACACAAACACACACCCTTTGTGCAACTCTAAGAAAAGCTCAGGCTTCCCTGAACCACCACAGGAAAACGATCTGAGAAGCTCAGAGTCTTTGTTAAATAGAAAACGTGAACGCTGCCCATTGAACGACACGACACACGTTTTGAGGCAGAACGTGTGGTTTTGGGCTGTCAGCTGTGACGTGTAACCGAGGCGGATTCTGAGCCTGTCATTGAAACCGTGGTTGCACCATCTCGTCGGCCCTGATGAACGAGGATTGGTGATAGCGGTGGCGAGAAGCAAAGTCGGCGTTTTCCTCCGTCAGCTGCTTGGTTTGCAGGCCGACCCCAGACAGAGAGGGTGTCACCACGATCTCATCCTGGGGGGAGCCTTTTCCCCTGAGAGACGAGAAAATACCAAGTTTTAGCAGAAGGTGTGATGCAGAAAACCACTCATACATCATTGACATTTAATTACTGATTTCTAACATGACTTGGTAATACAATTAGATTATGGCCCGTATAAGAGGCCTAACTTGCTTTATTAATCGACAGCAACTCTTTTTTTTTGTGTGTAGCTGTCAGTCTGTCATTCTTAAACACCAACTTTGACTAAAACATCCTTCATTGTAACAATAAAACCACACAATACCTGCAAATGCGACTCAAAGTCGACTTCAGCCACCGGAAAAAGCTGAATTGAGCTGCAATACCTGCGAATAAATCAAACTGTTATGAAGAAATGCTGCTGTACTAATCGCACATTTAAACCGACTAAACCTCAACTTATTTCGTGTCATAAGAAGTTGTAGCACACACGGATCTTATCGTCCGCCTGCGAGACAAATGTTTAACACTTGCGCCGCTTATCCTCGGAAATGTCGTGAGTCAGGCGGCGGAGGCACGTTGTAATGTGGTGAGTTTAACACACAGATGCAGGGTGTCCCATCCAGCTATTCTAGAAATCCTAAGCCACAACAGCTGCCGGGCTGCCGGGCAAAGAGACCGCAAGTGAAACTCCCGGCAGAGCTGAGCTACCAGGTCGCAATGTTACTGAGCAGAGGGCGACTTGATCTAAATGCTCAAGTGTAAAGTTGCGCTTGTGAGGGGCTTTTGCTGAACATAGTGGGGTAATCTAAATGATCGACTGACACGCAATAAAAAAAATATAGGAGTCATGATTCAGGTTAAAGAACACATCAGCTGTAGACGACTTCTATAGTTATAAACAAGTTAAGCAAGTTTATGTTGTGAATGCTTTGGAGTGTAGCTCAGCAGTAACAGGGATTCACTTTTCTTCATTTAGTCGACTGATTAAACATCAAAAAATTAAAATCTGCACATATTTGACCAAATGCAATGACTCCAAAGTGGACTGACTGAACCTGACTAAACATTAACCGATCTGTGAAGTTTAAATATCTGATTAAAAGATTAAATCAAACCAGAAGACTGGGCTGGACTCAATCCACCACAGTAACATTCAAAAAGATTTCCCAACTACAGAGAGCTTGTGCATGTTTAAAGTAAACAGGACCTCGTCGTGATCCAAGCTAAGAGATTCTAAACAGAAAACGAATGAGTGCAAATCACCTTTTGGAAGTCCGGGACTTGTTTTCCCGATGTAGAAGAAGAGCAGCACGGCGACGACTATGTTTGCTAAAGCGTAAACCCACTGAATGACAAACATGATAAATATGGAGCTCAAGGCCTGAAACGACAAACACATAAATATATATATATCCACGTTATTCATTCAGTTCAGTCACCAGAACAAAAAGAATTGCAGAGTGTCGTCTACCCCGATAAGAGCAATCCAGCGGTTACAACACTTTGCATAGAGGGAATCCTGCATGGGTTGGATCTCAAAGCTCGGGTGTTCTGCTTTACCTCCAACACCTGAAAGATTTAAGAAGAGCCAGGGTATTACCACTAACTTCATAGATGCACATTCTAATCTGTGATAAATCTGATCACCTGCGTTGTGATTCTGAGTCTCTGCAGCTGAATCCTGGGCTGGACCCGCTTTAGTACAGCATTTGACTTGAGGCTGCTCTCCAGCGCTGAGCTCCCAGCATTCGTTTGGCGCCTCAGCCTCCTCCTCCTCTGGTCCAGCTGAACTTTCCTCCTCATCATTCTCTTCTGAGAATACGTTGCTGTTCAGGTCCAAACCAAAGCTGTCCATCAGCTTCTGCTTAGCAGCCGCCTTTCTGGTCTTTGGTCTGCTGCTCAGCTCCTGTGTGGAGGCGGTCTTCTCAGCTCCAGAATCAACATCTGAGACAGGAGGAAAGATGTGGTCCATGTCCCTGGTGAACTCCAACAGAGTGCCTTTACTCTGCGGACTCTCTCCTCCGCTCCCATAGTTGGGGAGAGCGGCCTCGATCAGCGGTCTGGAGCTCTGCCTGGTGGACCTGCGCTGGTTTTTCTTGGCCAGCATCAAGGCGCCCCGTTTGTCTCGAGTCTGAAGCTGGAAGGTCATGGCCACGCTGAAGTAGGAGTAGTCGATGAAGCTGTAGGTGAGCATGAAGTTGATGGTGACGATGGGCGCCAGGACGTTGACCTTGCCGATGAAAATGAAGGCCATGGTGAGCAGGCTGGTGAGACAGATGGCTGCCACCGGGGTCTTGTTTGGGCCTTTCTGTTGGGGAGACAGAACATTGTTAATTTCACTACATTACTGTCACCAGGCCACACAAACCCAAGATAACTACGTTTTCTGAGCTTGAATCTTCTGGACTAACTTGATCAAGAGTTCCATTATGTTTTTAGGAAATACGTTGACCATTAAACCGTTTCATGTGAAGACTTCCGTGACACAAAAAGAACTATTTTAATATGAAAAGTGGACTTTTTGTGGACATGAAGGTTTCACAGAAGAGTGCAGCTGTGTAAAGAATGGTTTTATCTATCATTTATAGACACAGGGAGAAAAATCACCCAACTGGAAAATGAACTTCAGGTTGAATCTGGGGTAAATAAAACTTCTGAGTGATGATGAGCTTCTGTTGTGCCGTTAGTTTTAAAAAATATTCCCTCTGATGCTTGGATTTAAAAAACAATAGCAAAGGAACGATCCGTCATTCAGGCATGAGGTGTTTTATGTGGGTGATAAAGGAGCTTTGAGAGTACAATCTGGATTATTGTGTAATTACCACAGCAACCACAACACCGCACAACTATTTTCTCACCACAATACTGCCGCAAAAAATGACCCATTCCATAAAATCTTCCCATGACTTCATCTGGCCTTTTTCTGGCTAACCTGACACTGGAGCGCTGCGACGCCCACGAGAAAGTTTTTCCCACTTTTAGAAGAAGTATTGATGCTATTTTTCCATTAATATTCCCACATTAGAGTTCATAAAATGCAACACGTACGTTTTACTACACAATAAACACAAACAACACATGCGTCAGGCTTCACTTCTACTCTGCATTCCAGAAAAACAAAAAGAATTGATGAACTGAAGTAGATTATGTAAAGATCCTTTTTTTTTAAATGTTTAAATGATTTTAACATGTGGATCATTAACCAGTGTTTTACTTCCCAGGTCCTCTCACACAGTTTAAGGAGCGCTGCTGTGTGCCTGGCGGGCCTCCAGAGCATACAGCGGAGCGGGGCCCTGCCCGTCGCCCTTCCTGCGTTTGTTCTGAGGCTTTGATTTGGGCCAAGATGTCTAGGGCCTCATTCCAGCCTGCTGAGAGAGGTCAAACACCGCTGCCACCCAGGGAAGTCTGAGGAAAACTGGGGTGGACAGGGTCAGGACGTCAACGTGACTTTGCGCGCGTGTGCGAGCGGCAGCGGTGTGTCGTAACTCTTTACTGCATGAAGTCAGTCCGCTCTCCTCTATGGAGTCTGCGCTCTATAATTAGGCAGCCCTGTAACCGTTTCCTGTCGAGTCCAAACACCACACCCCCCTATACGTCCAGGCGAGACACACTTATTGGGTTACAATATGCCAATTACTGCAGGTAATCAGGGCAGTAGTTCTCCTCCAAACTCCACATGAGCTCCGTTTGATTTAACAAATAATACGGTCAAGATGCGGTTGTTTAAAGCTGTAAGTCAGTTAGTGGAGGCTAGTAAATGCTGCTTTTATGTCTGAGTGTAGTGTGGAGGTACACTGAATGATGAGATTGTCTTGTTTTAATTTCTCAGCTATTTTCAAACATTTGCAGGGCTGCTTTTTCACAATGGCTTGCTCACCACAGTTAAGAGTCTATCTCGCCCGACGACAAAACTTTCATGAAGTACGTGCTTAGATTTAGGTAATAGAAGTATAGTAGTAGTATAAATAATCCTGCAGAAGGAGACATGATGTGCACGCATGACAAGAGCATTATTATAAAATGTATTACAAGTCTGAGATAGTCATCTGTTAGAGCAAATCTAATGATTAGAATTTGAACTCAAGATCCCTTTAGTGGCTTTTTGAAGAATTTTCTCTCATATTTTACAGTTTTGAGCAGTAAACGGAGTTTGCTCAGTCACCAGGGTGACAGAACTCTAGACTTGTAGTTTGGTGCTTCTCTGGACAAGCTTAGAATCTGACTTTCTAACTGTTTTATCAATTTGCACGGCAAGAGTTCTACCTTATGTTATTCTAAATCCTTTTTTAAATCTTTTTTTTTTTTCAGTATATATCTTTTAAAATAATGTCTCCCCCTCTCTGCATTTTCAAAGTCAAGGATGAACCTTGATGCATGAAAGATAATGTTTAAAAAGACAGGACATCAAACTTTGGAACGGCCTTACACCGGGCTTCTGAGCTCTGCTTCTGACAGAAGCTGTTCCTACACGAGCTGAGGCTAATCTCAAGCTAATGCTGGGATTACTGTCCTGCCCTAAAGGCATTCATTAAAATACGTCCATCAGAGTAGGTATGAAAATAACAGCTGACTGTTTCCACACTGCTGCACTGCAGATGACTCTGAGCCACAGATATTTTATCACTACGCAAAATTTCCTAAAATACTGAATTGCTTTCACCAGGCTATGACGACTGCGACGATGGTCTCATTCAAAGTGAGGTAATCATCTAGAGATGTTAAAGTCGTAAGTGACCTGGTGTAGAAGCACAAACCCTGACTACATATTCTGAATTGACGGCATGGTGAGTCCAGCGCATATTTCTCAGCATGCTGTTAAAGTCCGGACAATCCTCCCTTCATGACTCCATCCATCCATCCACCCACCCCTCTTCCCAGGAATGCCAGAGATGGGATGACCCTTTCTTGGGCGATGCACTGGAGGATCCTGGGTGCTCCGTACAGGCCGCCCATGCAGGAAGCCAGGGAGGAGATGTAGAGGCCCAGCAGAAAGAGGAAACCCACCAAGGAGACCTGGAGGAAGAGGGAAAACAAACAGAGGGTGAAAAAGGATGGGGTGGGGTTGAGCGCTCACAACAGCTACACCCAGTTCAGTTCCGCTGCAGCCAGCCCCTTATAAAAACAATGAGAACGAACCACTGATGGACAAGTCAAGGACTCCTACGATTGGGTGAAGCAAAATCTAACATTCTAATACTGCCTCTCGATAAATTGAGGCTAATTGAGGACGACTAGTAGATTTATTACCATTTACTGACTGTACACACAACCCGACTGACAGCTCGTCAGATTGGAGTTGAAGGTTTTTGCTGCTGTCCTCAGAAGCACCATTCGTCGAGGTCAGTTCATACAAGAACAACCCTTGAGTCATCGCTTTGTGTTACTGAATATGTGTAACTCTGGCTACATAAAATGAATTGTCATGCCCAGTCCTCCAAACACAGCCAAACAAAAGGCCTGTTGCTGGGAATTCATGAAACAGAGACCAAACATCCATCCAAAAACTGTATATGTGTGGTAAGTGAAACTGCTGCACACTTTAAGACAAATATGTTGACTTTTAGTTTTCAATCTGTCACTATGTTTTAGCTTTAGAACATGGTGACTCGGGTGTTAGAACTCAAAGCATTAAAGTCATATTCAAAGGGAAATATAATGAAATACTGGGGTTTGTTGTTGACTTTTTTGAGTGCCACTATCAAAAGCTGTTGGACTCTTTTAGCTAACCAATTTTAAATATTGCAGAAAATGTGTGTGCACTTAATGTATTTAGTATTTTATCTTTTAAATGTTTTGATTTTTTTTCTACCTTTGGCTGTAAAGCAGTTTGAACAACCTCTGTGTGTGCTAAAGGTGCTATATAAATAAACCTGCCTGCTCTCCAAACTAACCAAAGAGAAATAAATCAGAAAAAAAAGACAGCTTCGAAGAGGTTGAATGTCATCCAATCCAAAACAAAACGCCGTACAGCAGGTACAGAGGGCCGCTTGAGCCGGAGAAAAGCGTAGGCCATCATTATTTCCACATGAGCAAACCAAACGCTCAGGGTTCTATATTGCAAACTGGCGCTGAGAACCAGAACCAACCACCACAAACCAACAAAGCGGGCCGTGGCGGGGAATCCCCTCACCTCGCCCCTTCTGTTGGAAACCTTCTCTCGCAGGCAAGGATGGAAACTGAGAGGAGTTTACCTTTTCTGCTATCAAGAAGTCATAGCGCAGAGCTTCTCTGGTGCAGATGGCCCCCAGGAGGAAGACAAAGACCAGATACAGGAACCACCTGTGGGTCACCAGCAGTACACCACAAAGGATTATTAACAACTGCTCCTTTCTCACTATTAATAGGAGAATTGTGTCATGACAACTTCACTAGTGAATGACTGATAGGGTCGCGGTAGGAATGTGGGTTTGTTTGTTCTCTCCAGTGAAAGTGGAAAAGCTTGGCCTTTTAAAAAGCCTCCAGTCACCGTTATGAGAGAACCACAAAACTAACATCTAAACATCTGGAAATTACCCTCGTGGATGAAACCAACCACCAAGATGTTGTGTTGAAGTGTAACTAAGTTCAGAAATCTTCCTTTACCATCTTCATTTCTTACTGTAAAACCACGACAGTGCAGTCTTTGCACCTTGACTGTAGCTGCAGCCTTCTATGCTGTATTGTGCAGCGTTTCACTGTTCTACTGTGTTTTTCCATGTAATTATATTATCATGAGAGTGCTGCGGGTGGGTTTGATGTGTCGTCATACGAGGTGAAGACAGCTGCCAGTGTTCCCACAGGGATGTTGTGTTCAGGCCGCTGAAGGTCTGAGCTCATGTTGAAGCCTGCCATGACCCCTACACACACAAACCACAAAAATGTACACTGCATAACACTGTACAATACAAAATGTATTTTTATACTGCATCTGACAAGAATGGAAAGCAGGAATGGTGGAATCTGAAAGGAGATGTTGGGGGGGGTCTACTCACCTGTGGCGGCAGGGAAGAAAACCCCAAATACTGTGAAGAAGTTTTCTCCGGGGCTGTAATCTGGCTTCGTGTTACTGGTGAGCAGCTCAGCTGAATAGCCAATGAATCCATGCTCTGCAAGTGAGGCAACAACACACACACATCAGGACAAGAAGCTTAACAGCATTTCTTCACCGAGTTAGCAGACATATCAGCCTGTCCACTGCCAACACCGACTCCTCTCATGTCTTTCTGTTTTGCATCATGTCATGTTGAATAACTTGAATGACAAACCACAGGACGGACACATTTATAAAGACAGTGTCACCACGAGGTCCTTCTCGTATCTGATCTACGTCTGGAGATGGAATCGTCCAGCTGTCATGATTAATGTCTGCAATTTAATAACAAGTAGGCAAACTCCAACTTTTAAAAGGTGCAAAAATTAATTTCAGCTCTGCAATTTCCTCTTCAGACCAGAACAAGAAATTCTTCTGCTTATTTATTTATAAGGATTTGAGGCCAGAATATAAAACATTTAAATGTAAATGACAACACGAGCATTTCCCTTCATATCTATTCAAATATTCATGTGATCTTTGTGTGAAATTAATTTATGAAAGAACATACGATAGATCAACTTTTGGAATAAGGAGCTTTTTAGTCCTTACACAGAAAAATAATGTCAACTTTTTTCAATCCAAACTACAAAAAAAGAAAGAAAAAGACCCAATTTTCCTGTATGGTTCGTTCTTATCCCCAGTTAAGTCCCTGGAAGTTTTAGAAACGTGTTTTCTAACAGTAAAAAAGGAAAACTTTTAAAGCCTGGCTGCTCTGTTGTGCCTCAGATACACTATGAATCAACTGGTGTAACGTGATCATTCCTGTGGTGTTTTTATTTGCTTGTTTTTATTTTCTTAGCATTTAGCCGCCATATTTGGTCCAATTTTTATTGGCTTTTTACGAAGCACTTCTTGGAGAAGTGGAGCTCAACTAGAATGGAAAACACATCACACATTAGCTACAGAACCAGACACCTGGTGTTTAAGACGACAGCATAGGCTCTGAAAATATCGCATTATATATGAATAGTTACCACAGTCCCCAACAACTCAAACAAAAAGATCCACTTTGCTTCTATCATAGTCAGAATAAAACACCAAAACAACTTAATCTGAGCTTGCAACGTGTATTTTAGTCAACATAAAAGGCAACAACAGGTAATAACAGCCTATAAAAAGTACACAGTCTGAACACAGCGCAGGTCGGTTTAGTCTGGGTCAGTGTGTTCGATGTGTGAGTCTAGATTGTTCTGCATATGTGGGGGCCATTTAAACCACACAGTCTGAAGGACCCGCCTATGTTACAACACTGGACATTTCCCCCTTGGTTATCTTGTGATGGGAAAGAATGTGTTCTCTCAGATTAATGACATGTTTATCCAAAAGGAAGTCACCACCCTTTTCAGAAGCTCAGCAGCTTCCAAGTTTGAGAGAAAGAATCAAAGTGAGCGAGAGAGGGAGACAGAGAGTGAGAGAGAGGGGAGAGAGAGTGAGCATGCTTTTTTTTTTCCTTTTGTTTTAGACAAAAGTGAAAACCCAAAGTGCTGCATATACTTTTTCATTCCAAGTTTGCATAATCTCCAGGATATGAGGTATAAAAACTGACATGAAATGGGTCTCGCTCAAACTCTTGTTCCCTCTGCCCTCTGTCCAAACAACCAGGATCTAACAAATCCAGGGCAGCGTGCACCATGAGCTCCACACCCATATTACAACATCGTACTCCAACATCCAGCTCTGCCAGCTCTCACAACTGAGCTCTCTCTGAGAATTCGGCTGAGGGCGTTCACATATGCCTGACACTTTTCCTACGGACATGGATGAAACGCTTCGATATGCCGTCTTCCAGGACAGAAAGTTCCCTGGTTTCTGCAGGAATAACATCCTCACATGCAAACAGTTTCACTTCAGAGATAACAAACAGACTGAATGTGTTTTGGAGGGATAAAATTAGTGCACACAGCATGCTATATTGTAGGTTGCAGCTTAATAATTGTTTGTCACCACATCCGGGACACATTTTTTGATGTCAATCAGTGCATGGTGCCTGCTGCCATGTGAGCACAATAAAACCAAACTCTGACATATTTACCCACGATAACACACAACCTAGTGAATGTTGTACCTAAATGCTTGATTCCACAAACAAACATGAGTGTAAACAAATATCCATGACTAAATGACATAAACCTGTAGGTCTGGAGCTGTGTGGTAGCTGCTTGTTTGGCTTTAGGGACGATTAAATGATATTTCCAACATGTTAGCTGCACTTTGCAACATGAGATCATTATCTCTGTTCATTCTGGCACTTTTAACTCATCAAATGAAACACCATACTTGTAATTAATTCCTACGGACATGGATAAAATGCTTCGATATGCCGTCTTCCAGGACAGAAAGTTCCCTGGTTTCTGCAGGAATAACATCCTCACATGCAAACAGTTTCACTTCAAAGATAACAAACAGATTGAATGTGTTTTGGAGGAATAAAATTAGTGCACGCAGCATGCTATATCGTAGCTTGCAGCTTGATAATTGTTTGTCACCACATCCAGGACACATTTTTCGAAATCAATCAGTGCTGCTATGTGAGCACAATAAAACTAAACTCTGACATACTTACCCACGATAACACACAACCTAGTGGATGTTGTACCTTCATGGTTGATTCCACAAACAAACATGAGAGTAAACAAATTTCCATGACTAAATGACATAAACCTGTAGGTCTAGAGCTGTGCGGTAGCTGCTTGTTTGGCTTTAGGGACGATTAAATGATATTTCTAACATGGTATCTGCACTTTGCAACATGACATCACTATCTCCGTTTATTTTGGCACTTTTAACTCATCAAATGAAACACCATACTTGTAATTAATTCCTACGGACATGGATAAAACGCTTCGATATGCCGTCTTCCAGGACAGAAAGTTCCTTGGTTTCTGCAGGAATAACATCCTCACATGCAAACAGTTTCACTTCAGAGATAACAAACAGATTGAATGTGTTTTGGAGGGATAAAATTAGTGCACGCAGCATGCTATATTGTAGGTTGCAGCTTAATAATTGTTTGTCATCACGTCCAGGACACATTTTTCGATGTTAACCTGTAGGTCTAGAGCTGTGTGGTAGCTGCTTGTTTGGCTTTAGGGACGATTAAATGATATTTCTAACATGTTAGCTGCACTTTGCAACATGAGATCATTATCTCCGTTCACTTTGGCATTTTTAACTCATCGAATGAAACACCACACTTGTAATTAATGCATCAGCTTAGGAGCACACTACAGAACTTAAACCTGTCTGCAGTTGTGCATAAGACTAACTTGTGATTTGTGTGTATGAGGTGCTCATGATTAGTTTTGTGAATCTCATGTTGACATAGGGGTGATATCGAGTTTAACCAGTGCCAGCAGCGAGGCTCCATTTTGGTGCAGACTAAAATAAGATCGCAATAAAACTGTGTGCGTGACAGAACTTGTGAGCATCGTCCCTAAAACCTTCTATACAATACAGAATCAGAAGATAATTCCAGCTGACTTAGCCGGTGATCCCCCCCTGAGTTCTCCTCACACCACCAGCTGGTTTCACAACTACTGGATGGATTGCCATGAAATTTGGTGCAGATATCCATCAGGTCCAGAGGATGAAGCTTAATAACTCTGCTGATCCCTCGATGAAACCACGACTTTGCTTCATAAGCCTAAAGACACGGCATGTTTTCAGACAGAGCCGTGGCGAGAGCGTCCTTATTTAGTTTTGCGTATTCTTTGAAAGCAAGTGTATAAGCGGAGTGTGGGGCTCCTTTCTGAGCTCAGCATTCCTCTGATACACGCTGGAATGTGTAGTCGGATTACATGAGCATCTGAGGCCTCTCCCTCCGTCTGGCTGACCTCTGACTCTCCCACACTAACCAGTACGAACCGCTGTGCGTGGACGACAGGGCAGACTGGGATTTCACAAAAGGTGGGGCAGGTCCCAGTGGAATGATTGCAAATTCTGCATTATGGTTCGGATCACAGGGAGAGATGATGTGGCGGTCTCTGGAGTCGCAGCGGGCTTCAGATCTCAGTTCCGGCCGTCTCCCTTTGTCATTTTCCAAAAATGTGGGTGAGTCTGGTTAACACCCTAAAACCCCAGACCCAAGGAGCACATTATGGCTTCCTGTTGTGAGGGTAATCGGCTTCAACTACAGGGACAGGGCTGGGCGTGTCAGGTCGTAATTCATCTGCGCGCCTCGGTCAGAAGGGTTTGTGGTGAAACCGTTTGGTCGGAGAGACAATACGTTGGCAGTGTTACTGACCAAGCTAAATAATTTACAACACTTAACGAGCACAATGGGAAACGTATTCTCCTCCCATCAGAGACGCTATTCTGAGCCGTCTTACATGATGTAGTCGTACAGTTTTAACTCCACCTGTCGCTGAATCTTGTGGCTGTGGAAGCCAGGTCAGTCCAAGTGAGAGTTCAACTACCTACATAAAAATAGCCCAACGTTTATTTTCTCCTACACTACTGAGGAGCTATAAATTCATCTCAGTTTTAATCATCAGCAGCACACGCCTGCTAATGAATGAAGTAGGTGACTGCTAATATTACATAACTGAAATAGTAGGCAGGGAAAACCCAACACCATTTGGTCATTCTCCTACATTTTTTGTTCTTGTTGGGGGTGCAAGCCACTAAAACTGCTTATAGGCCGAACCTCTATATCAAGGAAAATAAATTCCAAGTAATTGGTTAATAGTTACCCTAATGAGGATTAAGCGGTGTATAGATAATGGATGGATGGTTAATAGTTCAGCTCTACGTTCGACTCTTTCTGATCACGAGAGGATCAACGAGATGGTGTCAAAGTTGAACTGCCAAGCATACTGATAAGCCAATAAACAGTGTAATTGAAGTCTTAATGGACTTGGCTGGCAGAACTCGCCTTAGCCGCGATCTACAACTGTGTGTGTGAAACCTACCACAGCGATGGCGCTGAAGAGCGTGCAGCAAGGGACGTGTTATCAAGCTATGACCAAACGGTTTTGGCGGTGGCTGCTTTTCCTTCAGGATGTGCCTCAGTGTTCAGTGAGTTCAGCCTAATCTGGGCTGTTTCAGCTAGCTTGGGGACCTGTTGGTGCTCTGCCAGCCATGAGGTCACCACAACACACACACACACACACACACACACACACACACATACACACAGCAGCTCTTAATTGGAAAAACCTGGAGTACCCATTATGGCCGGTTCTCTCACAGTTTGTGGGGACTGCAAAACCGGCCTCCACCGACTGTGCAGTAAAGCAGACGAGACGCTGGGAGGGGTGGAGCCTGGTTTCACAACACAGACAGGGCTACCTGAAGTAGTCACGCTGGCTCTTGTAAAAACTAACCCCTGCCTAACATCGGGCAGGTTGCCAGATTTCTCTGGAGTTTGGGGAAAGACATACGTATGTTTGTTGTGTGAGCTTGGTTTTGTGCAAAGTACAGCGTTGCAAAGTGAGCGCTCTTGTGTCTAAAATGTGTTATTGACAGAGTAGCTTGGAATCTGGAACACTTTTCTCTTTTCACTGGACAGGACGCTGATAATCACTGAGAACAGGAAACGTGGGAAGGACTTCCTGAAGGCCAACAAAAGAATATAATCTCCTCAAAAAAAGAAAGAAAAAAAAAAAAGGTAGAATTTCCTCCCCACAGAACATAAAAATCTCAACAAATACTAAACCAGTTTTAACTTAAAACACAAGAAAACAGCACAACCAGTCAAATGAGACAAAAGTTAATCAGTGAAGAAAGACAGGTCAACAGACAGAACACCAGACTGAGAACAAAATAAATGATACTACAGCGACACCTAGTGGCCGACACAGGTCACACACCTAATCAACAGCCAAGTTCAGAGTTAGTCAAACTTTTTCCTGACATGCTGCCTCTTTGGAAACTGGAAGAGTTTGCTGCAGTTGGTAAAAACAAACAGTTGAATTGAACCTGAACATGAACTGCGTGTTTCTTTACACACATTTCTAATTAGTTCCTGATAAAAAGCAGGTGTAATTCTACCCACAAGAGCAACATTCACTGGTTTAAAATCGTACTTATGTTGCTGTTTTTCTGTCCATCTTGTGTTATTCATCTCATTACACTTCATAAATAAAAACTGCAAACCTCAGAGCCTTTCCGGCATCAGAGAACTCGCTCCTTTATTGTTCCCTAAACAACATGACAGATCCACAGACTTCCTCATGGTGGTTTTGCTTGTTGCAGCATGAAAACAGCTAAAACTAATGAAAAGCTGTGAAGTTACTGGAAGGCAACGCAGCACTTAAAATACGACATTCACCGCTGTTTGACAAGTCAGAATGTCTGCAGTGACAAAGGCCCGTTTACAAGCTCATCTCATTTCTCTATCTTGTGCCACTTTGTCTTCTCTGTCCTCCTGCCTCCTGGGACATGGAAATCAATCTCAGCGTGCCATCCTGAAAGATGTCCCGACTCCTCAAGTGCATCTCGAAGAGTGAGGGGAGCTTTGTGAGGATCTTTACAGTGTGATGTATGTAAGAGGCGTGAGACTCTGATCCCGACAGGAGCAGGACTGATAGATGTGTGTACATAACATACAGTATATCACTCAATCATAATATATCTTCACTTGTGTTGTACTCTTTTGCGGGTCACGTCTCTTCTACACTTCACAGCTTGAAAAACGTCCCATGATGCTGCTTTTTAAATAAAACTAAGTAAATATATATTGTAGGTTGTTATGAACGCTGTCAGTAGGCTATAACAAAGCAACAGACAGATGATGCAGCTGTGCCTCACATCATATTAAACTGATTTTGTTAAATGTCTGTTGTCTTGTGTCCTCTCTCCTCGTGCCGCTTCCTTGTCTCCTCCACTCGCATCTCAGGTGGGACGAAGACGCGAGGAGAGGAGCTGAGGATCTACAAACTGATCCTCCTTTTTCGTTTCCTCAACTTACTTCTTTCTAACTTAAACAGTCATAGAACTTAATGTTGTTTCATTAGCAAAAAACACTTTAGAAACTATCATTCTGCAAATTGAATTACGACGTTCAGCCTTTGTAAAATAACCCACTGCACTCACTCTGCATCACAATGTGGGCTGAACATATTCTGTTTCTCTCTATGTTTATTTGTAGGAGTCTCAGGAAGATGACCAACTTACATATCCTCATTTCACACTTCAAGACCTGATCTTTATCAAACATGTTTCACTGACTAGCTTCATGCTGCTGGTCCCAAAAGTAAACACTGAAACTGGTCCGATGATGGATGCAGAAGCTCAAAACATTGACATCACTAAATAGTTTTAAAAATCTAACTACAGACTGTTAATCTTACCTGTATATCATTTATGCACTAATGCGTCGAAACAGCACACTGATGCTTTGATCCTCACTTATTACGGAAATTAAGCAATGACACTTATTACTTAGCCCCCTTTCTAATCACTGTTTAATGCTCATTTTAATTTCAGGCTTTTCAAAGTTCACTGCGTCTCCTGAGTGCATATAAAGGCTACACGAGCCTCCTAAAGCATGGTGGGAAAATGTTCCCTCCATGATCAGAAATAAAGAAATTTGCCGATCTGCAAACACAGTCTGAAAACTCATCTCTGCCAAGTCCACTACGTCCAGACAAACAGCTCTCACACACA